GTGTTGCAAATACACGATAAAGTATTCATCCGGTAATTCAGCTGACGCAGAGGTTCTAAAACACCATTATCTTTTGCGCCTCAACTTGGAGGCATGCTTTGTCATGATCCTTTCATGGTTCCCTCAATCAAATCCGATTTTCTGAAGCTTAAAGGGTGAGTAATGCACTTGAACTCTTCGTCCTCCACGGATTTCTCGACTCATCATGGATACGCAGGTTCGTGCTGCTACACTCCTCCAGATTGTCAGAGTAAGTACAACACCAAGTCAATCGCCCAAACACTACTCACAATCCAATAGTATACGAACGGTCGGCCTTTCTCCCATCCGCATTCGTCTTTACTTACGTCGTGCGCAGTCTGTAGTTTCGCTCTCCTAGTGAGACTTCCTCAGATGTGGCGTAATGTGATGAAATCACTGAGCTAATCTATCAGATATACGACTGCCTTTTGACCCTGGATATGGAGGTACGAAGAAACAACGGACGTACAGGTGTCGTTGACCAAACTCTAGGTCGAATACATATGGAACGCCGAGTGGGGAACCGGGAAGATCTTGTTTCTCCTAGAGCGATATCCTGCATTCGTCGATGTTCCCATGATGATCTATTGTATGTCTTCGCTGGTGTCGAGTCTCTCACTACTCTGAATATCATATTTCCAAGACACTCTTGCCTCAAATCCTTCAAACAAAGCATGTTCGATATTATCTTTACCAAATGTCAAAACACTCACCGGGCTTGTGGACGATACAGATGTGCAAATGTTTATATTCCGTCGCTTCTTGTGAGCGAGCTACATTGCTAAATTATACAATCTCATATTTCATTTGAACAGGGTCTACCACGATCGGCATTGGGATTGCAGAAGGTCAGCGTATTCCTAAGACAACCTTCGGGAAACTGAACGAGTATTCACAGCAATCTTGGTCATCCGAACGTATGCACTGTGGACACGGAGTAGGAGAATCCTTTTTTTCCTTCTTACTTTCTATATTGTATGGCACTCGTTTCGCTCCTCTTCCAAGCAGCTGTAACACGCTATTAGTGCATGTTTATTGCAGTCTCCGTGATTCTGACATTATTTTTGCAGTCCACAGAATGTAAGTGCTCCTACTTGGCATACTCTGTCGCCATATGACAACACCGTTGCAGACGGAAACCCTCCTCTCCCAATAATGAAAGGATGCTATCGTATTGAAGGAACAGACATCGTATTTATCGACTTTCTGTTACTCATCGTCTTTGAAATACGTATGTTTGTAATGTTTACTTCTCGCCATTTGACCTGACCAGGGATATAGTCATCATGGTTCTCACGATATGGATTGGCTTAGCTCGCTTTCGTCACTCGAAAAGTCCATTGGTTGTTACCCTTTACCAGGATGGAATACTCTATTTTATTGGGCTGTTTCGTGAGTCCTGACCAGACAAATAGTAATCTCATTCTTAACAACACACAAGTAATATCCATCGGAAATATTATCGTTCTCGCCGCTGGTCCAGTGAGCGCTGTCGGTGAACATATGCAATGATTTGACTGATCAATACAAATATAGCCCGAATTTGTTGATCTCATCACCGCGTAAGCCCCTTCTAAACCGCCCCGACTCATCTAATTTCGTCATACCTCATTCAGCTTTCAGAGGGTGATGCACAGCAGTCTTTCGACACGTGTCCTTCTTCATGCTCGTGCTACTGCAGATTCTCAAACGAATAAACCTTGGTCACTCGCAACTATAACCGACGTTCAATTCAAGCCCCTTGAGAGCCCCTCTTTTCACGCGTGTGCACATGTCTCCGACAATGGTCAAAATGCGTGGAATCATACTGCGTCAAATGCCACCATAATTAGAGATGCAGAAAAGCATGAAAGTTATACTTTTACAAAGGGATCTCTCCCAACCATGTCATCACCGTATCAAGGTCCGATGGCCCATACCTCCAACCCTACACACTCGAAAGCCACTACACCAGCATTCTTTGTGCCCACGGAGCACAGCGGCTCATTCGCAAAAGTGGGACATGCAGCGCTAGAGCCTTGAAACAATGACTCGTCGAGATATAGCCCGTAGTTCCCGTCACTACACAATTACTATGTAAACGTCCTGTCCGTAGAATGATTGAATATAGTCAGACGTACCCGCCTCCGAAGGATATATATTCAGGCTCGCAAAGCGCGACGTAATCGTTCCTCCCTGTCCACTTGAATATCCGTAATTCGCGGCCGATATACTTCCATAGGAAGCTAGACAAGAAGGATCAGTCTTGAGGCACTGAGACATGTACACCCTCAGCCACACCTTTCTCCGCTCCCGTAGTATCCCTTTCCCCGACTAGGATGCACACCGTCCTTCCCCATCCACGCTCCAAACAGAGCGTCCCCGGCATCCTTGATGACGAGGAACGCACCCGCGGGTGCTGGTGTGCCGGGTTTAACCTGCATATGGGCTTCGCATCGATCATACAAGGTATTCAAAGAGATCCCATGTTGATCCAGCGAATAAATCAGAGTCCACCTCCTCGGCAATCGAGCAAGCGCCGGGAGATGTGGGCGAACCTTGATCCATGATGATGTCAGATAGAGGCTTGGCGAGATGAGGAAGAGAATATGGACGCACCAAATCGGCCAAATGCACATCCAAGACAGGCGCGGTCGAAGCCTTGCGTCCATGCAGATCAACGCTCCCGGTCTTCTTCTCTATCAGGTGTGCAACGTCTGGCGCGGATGCGCTGCCCTTCAAGCCCACAAGCTCCCGCTCTTTCGCTTCCTCTTGAACCAGCTCTCGGTCAAGGTCGTCTGAGTATCCCTTGTCCCAATTGTACTGTTCTCCACGGTACCCTGGTGCCCCAGACGGGGGTATGTAAACATGCGATGCAAAGGGCGAGATCGTCATCGAGCGCCCAAACGGTGTTCCATGGGATATCTGAACATCTGATACGGGCTGAGAGATGGTGCGATACAACTTCGTCCCCGACGGCGGAGACCGTTCAGAACTTTGTGACCGTCTCTGTCTCTGTCGTGAGCTGTCCTCAGCAAATATCGATTCGAGAGACGAATGAGAGTGATGTGAATGTGGTTTGGATGAATTGAGGAAGGAAGACATGAATCGCGAGGAAAGGCTGGAGAGGGTTGAGTGTGAGAAGCGCCGGTCTTTTGGGGGTGTCAGGTGCGAAAGAGGATCCGAGTATTCACTTGGAGGCGACGCTGTGAACAATTCAGCATTATGTGTGTCGGCTACGGGGGGTGCTGGAACGATTGGGAGGGAAAGGGTAGATGATCTTGAAGGTGAATGATCAGGTCGTGGTGTATATGTCGTCATGTGAGGGAGGGGCTGATGGACAGGGGTTTTTGAGGTAAAGAAATTGTGATCTAGATCGAGGAGGTCGTCCACAGGGACTTTTGTATTCGCATGATCCGTTATGATATCGCGTTGCGGCATGAACTGCGACTGTTGCGGTCCGCTGGCAGATTCTCCATTCTTTGACTTGCCACCGTGATCGTCGTGGTAAAAGTCGAGGAGTTCGGGCATACAAGGAACAGACTGGGAGTCCACGTGAGTTTTCTGGTCGTCCTTCAGCCAGTAAAGCGGCTCGTCCTCATGTTTCAAGAGCTCATCCAGCACTCCCTGCTTGTTACGATCTGACGCAACTTTCGCATCCTGAGCGAACTTGTCAAAGAATATAAGGCTGGAATTATTAGCGGCCAGGTTCCTGTTAATAACCGGTGGACTTCTTTGTTCTGGTGAACCAAAGTCCAGAGCTAGTGGATCCTCGGAGGCGGGTACGGATACGAAGGCGCCGAATTCTGAGTCCGACTCGGAAGTATCCTGAATCATCCTGGGTTTTACCTTGGTGGGCTCGTGTTCCAGCGCAGGTACATCTGAAGAAAACAGCGTCGAAAATAAATCGTCGCTGGCGAATTCATTCCCAGTAGACGATCGTTTCGTGACCGAAGACAGATTGGATCTCGCTGACGCCATTGTCTCTACTTTACCTGAAGTCGGTGAGCATATTCCCTAAACTAGCCTAAATCAGGACTCACCTCAGACAATAGAGAATCAAGTCCATTGACATGAGGCGGACGTTTGATCGATGTTAGATATGGGCGGTTACTTGGTAAGGTCGCGTCCACGTGGGAACTTAGATTAGATGGATCGTTAGGATCTTATCGCTCGCTCCGAGTTGAAGCATGTCCCCATACAACAAGTACTCTCATGAAACATCTGCTGCTGCTGTCATATTGCGAAGAGAAGTCACAAATTTGTCTGAGCAGGACCCTTTGAGCTAGCCCTCGACTGGAAGGAATAATTTT